GGTGTCACATAATCACCACCTTTATCCTACAATAGGGCTTGGTTGTCACATGATTGCCACATTTATCCTAAAAAAGCCCAGAGTGTCAACACATAATTTCTGACTCAAAGTAGGGAGTGCACTTACTGCACTGAACAATGAAATGGTATTTGTTTGCATTGAAGTAGACATGTGTGGGCTTATTGCCACACATGGGTTTATTTCTGGGTAAACACAGTAAAAATCCCTTGTAGACATTGGTATTGTTTATATGATATCAAGTTAATTATATCTTGATAATATGGGATAATTTATTCCAGTGCCAGCTTAAGTATAGAGTAAATATGCTTACAGTATTTGTACCATATCATCAATATTTATTATAATAATACAAAAATAATAAATAAGCATGTGAAATTGTTTCTGTTGAATCTGTGATAAAACATCAGAACCCTGTATGTAACAAATTAAAATTCAACTTACAGTGATACTGTATACCAGGACATTTTCCCCTAGTCAAATATTCACCGTTTAACGATAAAATCCATGTTCGCCTGATGTTAGTTTCGCCTTTCACATGAACTAATCACATATTGTATGGTGTGTACTAATACTCCCTGTCATTATAAATTCACCCTCATTGGGGAGGATGGAAAATGCAAAAGTTAAATCACAGCAAAATATTCCCAGTATACAGTATATTCTACATTATAATTGAGAAGAGAGGTGGGGTAATTGAGTCTGACGGCACATTGCATCATACAAGACACATGTTCAATAATATTCAGATGCATGCAAATCTATGGAACAGTCATAGCAATAATAATGATAATCTCATGCAAAATAAGTCATATGATGGATACATTTATATACAGACATGTAGCAATAAGCACCAGTCATCATGTTCATTAAGTATATACGGGGCAAAGTGATTGGCAGATATACATATAGGATGGGACCCAGCGATTGGCAGATATACATATAGGATGGGACACAGTGATTGGTAGATATACATATAGGATGGGACCCAGTGATTGGCAGATAAACATATAGGATGGGACAAAGTGATTGGCAGATATACATATAGGATGGGACCCAGCGATTGGCAGATATACATATAGGATGGGACCCAGCGATTGGCAGATATACATATAGGATGGGACACAGTGATTGGCAGATAAACATATAAGATGGGACCCAGCGATTGGCAGATATACATATAGGATGGGACCCAGCGATTGGCAGATATACATATAGGATGGGACACAGTGATTGAGAGATATACATATAGGATGGGACAAAGTGATTGGCAGATATACATATAGGATGGGACACAGTGATTGGGAGATATACATATAGGATGGGACACAGTGATTGGCAGATATACATATAGAATGAGACAAAGTGATTGGCAGATATACATATAGGATGGGACACAGTGATTGGCAGATATATATATAGGATGGGACACAGTGATTGGGAGATATAAATATAGGATGGGACACAGTGATTGGCAGATATAAATATAGGATGGGACCCAGTGATTGGCAGGTATATATGATGGGACACAGTGATTGGCAGATATACATATAGGATGGGACCCAGTGATTGGCAGGTATATATGATGGGACACAGTGATTGGCAGATATACATATAGGATGGGACACAGTGATTGGCAAGTATGAATATAGGATGGGACACAGTGATTGGCAGATATAAATATGTTTGCACTGCATTCAATCGTAACGCTTTTATTGAAGGAAATCTTCCACCCCTTTAAAAAGAGCTGACTAGAAGATGTAATGTTATTGCCTGAACGGTTTATGCCCGAGATTACAGTGTCAGAGCACAACTAACATGTGATTAGCCCTGCATGTAAAATACACAACCCATACATACCCATACATCTCTCCCTTACAGGTCCGCATTCATGCATTTATCTGTATTTATACTATACTATATAAAAATGTTAAGAATTTCAATAAGGTAGAATTTTGAACTGAAGTTTAACATGAAAATTCTTATTTAATTAGATGAAGATTAAGATTATATCTATTTTTAAATTTTACATGAATAATTTCTTTCATATCAAATTTTTCTATAAACATAAGTTCTGAAATAATTTTAGTTCAATTGAATTATATATGTACATTAGATATAAAAGCATTCACTTAAAATTTCTTGTGAAGTATATTTGTTTGTGAATGTATGATACAATACAACCAACTGACTCCAATAAAGTCTACCTAGACATGACCTCATACCCGCAGATAGTATATACTATAAAATACTTTTTTCTGTGCTACATTATTTCATTTTAGAAATCTTTTAACACATTAAGATACAATGTTCCCATTTCATAAAATAAATAAACCGGGTACTGGGGGGAGGGGGAGTGTTCTAAAGGCTTCGCACCTATAAAACATCAAAGGAACACGTATACATGTATTAGACAATAATGTCAGCAATGAAAACATGATGATATGGGCACAAGCACACAAATGAAGTATTCATCATGAACATATATCAGGACACTGCCTACCATAGACAACACAACACATGCACTGGCCTGGGATGTAACATGACGGGTATCAAAATCTATAATTCTAAATTCAGTGTTCTTATATATGATCAGAATTTATTAATCCAACTTTCTTTAATTAAAATCTTGTAACTTCATGAAAAATAATGCCAAAACCTTATTTAAAATACATTTTATAGCATGGTTAAAACTTGGTCCATAATTAAACAAAAGTGTAGTAATCTTGTACCCTTTTAACCAGAAACAAACACAAAATTTGAGGACAATGTTATGCAGGATAACAGCAACTAAGTAATATGACCACAATGATTTGTGAGGAAATTCCCGTAATGTATTGTGTATAACCTTCAACCTAACATGACTGTCCCTGATAGAGTCGGAGGTCTACAGGACGTACTGTATCCCTTCTGTGGCCTTATGCTGCCTTGTACAGTGTGATGTCTACAGTCCTGTGTACTCTGGTAGGTATGAACTGAGGACATCTGCATGGTCCAGTGTCACCGGACAGTCGGAGGCCTACAGTCCTGTGTACTCTGGTTGGGCAGAGGCTGCCTGAGACTGGCCTGTTGATGCGGCCTGAATACTAGCCGAGGATTGGGACTTCTTCATCCCTTTCTTCTTTACATCCTTCTCTGGTGGTTTGTCACTGAGAAGTACAAATACCATAGAGAGTGTTTATCTTACATATTTCAAAATCACAGTTAAAAAATCCACATAGTTAGCAATATCACATAATCTTTGAACTTAAAATGAGGTATGAAAGTAAACTTCTGAACTATGATTTCTTGGAAAGCAACCTGTTATACACTTCATATGTTAGTGGACAATATTTGAAAAGGATCAAAGCTTGACCTAATGGTGATATTCATCTGAAGATGTGTAATGTGGTTGGTCTCAACTGAAGGGTACCCGGTACTGGCAATATATTATGGACCACAGAGAGTCAGAGTTCACCTGAAGGAGGGTATAGTCTGGACAATTACAACAGGGTGAGATCTATAAATCTGAAGAAGGGTAGTATCTGAATCTGATGCAAATTGATAGATCTATGTAAAAGAGTCTTATCCAGAGTGAGAAATACATACACCTTAAAAAGGATAGCTTTGACCAGAGCCAGACACAAACTCACCTGAAGAAGGGTAGAGTCTGTGCTAGTCTTTCTTTGTTGATGTTAGCTGCTAGGGTGGGCTCTTTCTCTAGGAGGTGGTTGATGACTTTCCGTAGATATGTCTGGAACACCTTCCGTCTATTCTCTACTACTTTGGTTTCCTAGAATACACAAACAAAGCTAGCATTACCTTTCACCCCAAATTGTACAAATCGTCATAACAGAATTCACATCATTGCACCTTCATCACTACCTGGAAAATAATAGCCAAAAGTTCTCTTAAATTTTAACATTATGTACTTTCATAATTAGTGTAGAATTCAGTGTGAATGGGCTTGTTAAATGTTAAGGAGTTCAAACTACTTCTGCATAGTTTTTCAGTAAGTACTGGAGTTAGAACGTGTCTGTCTCGCCACCTTTTTATCTAGCTGTCTCACTATCCAGCCAGTGATTTTCCTTTTTCTAAAAATAAATATCCCAGTTATCTAGCTGGGAACTAAGATGAATTCACTATATAACTATCAACATAATACAAAATACAAATTCAGGCTATGAAGAAATTTCTTGTTTTTGTATGTAAGTTAAAAAATTCAGGCAATAACACATGCTAACCTTTTTACCAATAGTCTTTTTCGGTGGGAATTCATATCTACTTATAGCTGGATACTGCTTTTTTAACTTGATGTGGAACTGATGAAACTGGCTAAATCTCTTGTATGTATTCCATTCTTCATCCTGGATTCTTAAGTAGATCTGGAAGCAAATTAAGACAGTGAAATTCTAACAAATAAACTGTACCATTACCTTTTTCTGTCTTATATAAAGTTTTGCATTTTTCATGAATTACAATGCAACAATAAACATTAAGAGTATCAAATATTTGAACAACATTTCAGTACATTACTTTTCATTTGTCTCAAGTTGACCATGACATTTTCTACCCTTGATTGGTGACAAATTTCTCTAAATTTGGTTAAAAACAGCAGACAGGAAACTGTGGACATGCAAAATGTTGGCAGACAGCATACATTTCACCACGGCATGTACATCATCAAAACTGAATGACAAAATTTTTAACAAACTGTTTATAGTATTACAGGTATCAAAGTCTATAGCACTACTCTGGCTAATCCTGGCAGCATATAATGCACAAGAGGCTAGTTCCTCCATGAAAAGCTGTTTGTGGCATCATACTTCTGTGGTACTGTGATTTATTGCTTATAAATGTTCCTTTCTATTGTGCTACGGCGTCATGACTGTCAAACAGAGAAATCATAGCCTTGAAGGGACAAATTTTTTTATTAAAAAAGTAAATCAGGAGACAACTTTATGACTAGTGGAGAAATCTAGTGTGTATGTAGTGTGGGCTGTAGATGTTATACCTGGTAGACATGATGCTGGTCCGAGGAAGCTCCCTGGAGGAAAGCTGAGGGAATCCAGATATTAACTAGAGTGTTCAGGTGCAGAGAAAGGCTAAAACAGATGTAAAACAGAATGTCATATAATCAGTCTTAAACTGTATGGAAAAAATATTTAATTGCTTTAACAATAATATTTCATCACACAAATTTGTCTTTAAATAAAAAAAATGTGGCCCTCATCCTCTTACCTGTCCATGTCCATACTCAATGTCTCGTCTGCCAGCTGTAGGTCGTGAGGAAGCTAAAATAAACACGTCAACCAGTAATGATTCATGAAAACTTAACCATAAGCTAGTGTAATAAATATGTAACAGTTGAATTACAATTATTATACATACAACATTTATAATGCTTAAAACTCGCTGCTTTGAGATGCTATCAAGACTTAAGGATCAAATAAATGTTGCTTATAAATATTTGTTATTGAAAAAATGTCAAAGAAACTCGTCTCACTAGACTAAACAGATCATCATATATTGGGCTCACAACAGGAAATTAGAGCCTCGTTACTGGAGGTCAAGAAAGTAAATAGAGGCTTGTATCTTGAGGTTAAGATAGAGACTATTAACTGGTAGTTAGAGAGACTATTAACTGGTAGTTAGAGAGACTATTAACTGGTAGTTAGAGAGACTATTAACTGGTAGTTAGAGAGACTATTAACTGGTAGTTAGAGAGACTATTAACTGGTAGTTAGAGAGACTATTAACTGGTAGTTAGAGAGACTATTAACTGGTAGTTAGAGAGACTATTAACTGGTAGTTAGAGAGACTATTAACTGGTAGTTAGAGAGACTATTCACTGGAGGTCAGAGAGACTATTAACTGGTAGTTCGAGAGACTATTAACTGGTAGTTAGAGAGACTATTCACTGGAGGTCATAGAGACTATTAACTGGTAGTTAGAGAGACTATTAACTGGTAGTTAGAGAGACTCCTCAGGACAGGTTCCTCATTAAAGGTTGGAGACCACTAGTTTTAAGAAAACTAACCGGTCCCCGAAGGTCTACTAGTTCTCGCTGAACACGGCGTAACATGGCATCCTTGTTGTTGAGTTGCCGATGCAGCATCTCATTAAATTCCATCAGTTCCCCATGCATCTCTGCCACCTGGTAAAAACAAAGTCAAAAGGTCAATACAAGGTCAAGTGGTCAAAATAAGGTCAAGTGGTAGAGAAAGGATTAATAGTAAAAGTAACGTCAAGTGGTACACACAAGGGCAAATGGTAGAGACAAGGTCAACTAGTAAAACAAGAGACCCATGGGCCTTAATGGTCACCTGAGTCTTGCAGTATACATTTTTGTTGTTGAAATATGAAGTTGAGATAATGATGTCAATCATCCCTACCAAAATTTGAGTTAAGTCGAACTTTAACTTAATTTGTCAGGACAATGAGTTGATCATTCCTAAACTGAGTTTCAGTAAATACGGCCTATTAGAACTGTAAATATTAGGGAGTTTTCAGTAACATTCCCATGAAGTATCAATGAAATCCCTTTGACAGTATTTCAGCTTAAGTTGAAAATGTAAAATGTTAACGGACGACGCACCATGACGGACAAAGACAGATAGCAATAGGTCACTTGAGCTAAAGCTCTACGGAACATTGGACTGTCAATCATGATCCCCGTCTACGGAACATTGGACTGTCAATCATGATCCCCGTCTACAGAACATTGGACTGTCAACCATGATCCCCATCTACGGAACATTGGACTGTCAATCATGATCCCCGTCTACGGAACATTGGACTGTCAATCATGATCCCAGTCTACGGAACATTGGACTGTCAATCATGATCCCCGTCTGCGGAACATTGGACTGTCAATCATGATCCCAGTCTGCGGAACATTGGACTGTCAATCATGATCCCCGTCTACGGAACATTGGACTGTCAATCATGATCCCCGTCTACGGAACATTGGAGTGTCAGCAGATAACCTGAAATTCTAATTGGATTTAATCATACTGTGGTAGGGTAAATGTCAAAAACCAATATGAGCATAGTAAAGACTGACCTGTATCAACTTCTTCTCATACTCGGATGCTTCATGACTGTAGTCTATACTGGGCTTGGCTGGTGGTATGTTGGGTTGAGGGTCATCTAAGTGGATACCCAAATTGTCTGTAAATCATAATGGTATCATAAATACAAAAATCAAGTCAAATAGAGTGTGTACAGTACAAACGATATACAAGATCTTTCAACTTGTATCAATTCACTCTTGTTCCCCCAGATGGAAGGGCAAAGGGTGTCTTTATGTGGGTGGAAACAGAAGTAGCACAATAACATGAATGGCCGGGCAGATGACCCAATATTCCACGTCCAATCAGGAAACAGAGCACTTGCTGTCTAGGTGAAAGGTGAATGCTATCCACTAGACCAACAAACCATCCATAAAATTTCTTATTTCCCTGTTTATTTAAGATAAAACAGGAACAAGAAAATACACAAAAGAGCTCTACCACAACCTGTCTATACTGGTGACATAAAGACAATTACTATAAAAACATGAGACCACTAGCAAATAACTACTATTACAAATGTACAATGAACCAACCATCAATGTGCGAGCCCTCAGCCCTCAGCATCTGTACTGCATTTACATAGCGCCTCAGCTGATGTTTTAGTAGTTCATTCTCCCTGCAACACCATACATATATTAGCCAAGCTAGAGAAGATAATAGCAACACAGACGTTAATACAACTGGAAAAGATGACAGACCATACATCAATTGATGTACCGGGTGTAATTTACATTACGTTGCTTGACAATTTTTTTTTTTTTTTTTTGTACTTCAATTTCTGATATTTTACTGTTCATCAGGTCAAAACCAATTAATACTTTATAGTTCTATCATCTGAACAAAGAGAAAACAGATAAGGAAAATTGGCCATATTTTAAATTCTATAAGATATATTATCAAACTATGGAAACTAAGGCTTACTTCTGTAGAGCTTGATATTTTGCAGCTTCCTTTTCTTGTTTAGCTTGGGAGGTTATCTTCATATCCTCAATATCGGCCCGTAGTGTGGATGAGGTCTCCATCTCTAGCTGTAGAGTATCCTGTAGATTCCTACAACAGGGACATAATATTAAACAATTACAGTACAGGTAAGTGGTTTCTTATAAAACACATTTTTAAACTTCCCTTCTAAACTTTTTTTCTTAAAATTCAGAAATTAATTTATAACATATAATTATGATCTTTTTATTTTGAATTGAGAGAGCTGAAACTTATAGAGGTAAGAGTCCACTGTAGTTTACTTTAGTTACTGAGAACCCCTGTCCCCCACTGGAAATTTACAGAGGTGAAACAGAGTGTTATCTATCCTCCACCAACTGTATTGTTCAGTGTATACTGAGAACCTACAGCTAACAGATGTAGCAGACATCGTGTCTTACCTGTTCTGTTCCTCCACCAACTGTATTGTTCAGTGTGTACTGAGAACCTACAGCTAACAGATGTAGCAGACATTGTGTCTTACCTGTTCTGTTCCTCGACCTCGTCCTTCCTCATCATCATGGAAACCACAGCCTGCTTAAGTTCATCTGAAAAAGATATTGTAACTATTATCACTACTCAAGCATCCTAGGACAAAGTTTTTCAACCTAACAGCACAACAGTTATCAGAATATTTGATCATATGAAACTGCTATTTTCACATTTGGCAAACCCAGTGAATCTCTGACAGAAGTTCCAAATCTTGTGTACAGCTTTAGACTGATGATTAACCACAAGACTTTAGTTTGGTTCCCTGTAAAACTGTGAGAAGCTTACCTGTTGACATAGCATGCTTACCTGTTGACATGGCATGCTTACCTGTAGACATGGCATCTTTCTTTGCCACAACGTCCACGTTACCACCATCACCTTGGGTCCGGTAGCTGAAACATATAACAACTGTAAATCAATTCAGTTATACTGGGCTTTATACAAGGTAATTGATTAGAATATTTAATATGATCAATCTACATTAAATCCTGATCTTGGGAAATCAGCTTTATAAAATTTGATTTTTTTGTTTTTGTTTGTGCTGTTTCTCCGAGTCTAGTTTAGACCTTGCATGATACCTACCAGTGAACTGTTCCCTGTCAAGTTTAGTTTAGACCTTGCACGGTACCTACATGTGTGCGGTTCCCTGTCAAGCTTAGTTTAGACCTTGCACGATACCTACCAGTGTGCGGTTCCCTGTCAAGCTTAGTTTAGACCTTGCACAATACCTACCAGTGAACTGTTCCCTGTCAAGCTTAGTTTAGACCTTGCACGATACCTACCAGTGAACTGTTCCCTGTCAAGCTTAGTTTAGACCTTGCACGATACCTACCAGTGAACTGTTCCCTGTCAAGCTTAGTTTAGACCTTGCACGATACCTACCAGTGAACTGTTCCCTGTCAAGCTTAGTTTAGACCTTGCACGATACCTACCAGTGAACTGTTCCCTGTCAAGCTTAGTTTAGACCTTGCACGATACCTACCAGTGAACTGTTCCCTGTCAAGCTTAGTTTAGACCTTGCACGATACCTACCAGTGAACTGTTCCCTGTCAAGCTTAGTTTAGACCTTGCACGATACCTACCAGTGAACTGTTCCCTGTCAAGCTTAGTTTAGACCTTGCACGATACCTACCAGTGAACTGTTCCCTGTCAAGCTTAGTTTAGACCTTGCACGATACCTACCAGTGAACTGTTCCCTGTCAAGCTTAGTTTAGACCTTGCACGATACCTACCAGTGAACTGTTCCCTGTCAAGCTTAGTTTAGACCTTGCACGATACCTACCAGTGAACTGTTCCCTGTCAAGCTTAGTTTAGACCTTGCACGATACCTACCAGTGAACTGTTCCCTGTCAAGCTTAGTTTAGACCTTGCACGATACCTACCAGTGAACTGTTCCCTGTCAAGCTTAGTTTAGACCTTGCACGATACCTACCAGTGAACTGTTCCCTGTCAAGCTTAGTTTAGACCTTGCACGATACCTACCAGTGAGCTGTTCCCTGTCAAGCTTAGTTTAGACCTTACACGATACCTACCTGTGTGCTGTTCCCTGTCAAGCTTAGTTTAGACCTTACACGATACCTACCTGTGTGCTGTTCCCTGTCAAGCTTAGTTTAGACCTTGCACGATACCTACCTGTGTGCTGTTCCCTGTCAAACTTAGTTTAGACCTTACACGATACCTACCAGTGTGCTGTTCCCTGTCAAGCTTAGTTTAGACCTTGCACGATACCTACCTGTGTGCTGTTCCCTGCTGAGCCAGATCTAGGGCACGAGCTGCTGAAGCTACGTCCTGTCCCCCATACTTTTGGCCATCAGAGGAATCCACTACAAGAACAAAATAAGTTTGTCATCCTATGTGTCTATTCATTTTATCTCTTTCAAAATAACAATCATTATCAATTTCTTATACTTGTATGTAATTTTTTACTGATATAACCAGTATCATTTAAAAGTCAAAATGACAACTCACAACAGAAAGACTTACAAAAAAATAAGTAAATGGTAGAAAATGTTTGTAAAACATGCATATGTCCCCATTTCTGCTTTGACGTAAAATATTGTTACACACAAAATCTAACCAAAGAAATGTTATTTAATGCAAAATCTAACTGAAGTTGGTGAACCAGAAAAAATGAGTCACAATGACCTACATTTCAACCAATGTTTTATCTATCATTTTCACATAGTGATTCATATCTCATGAAGTTCTATGTAAAATTTATGAATTTTCAAAAGTTTAATGAGAAAAGTTGAGTATTTGACTCATGTAAATAAAACACTGTTCATCTATTGGTGTAGTATTTCTCAAGATTTATTCAAATATGAATTTTGATGACTATGGAACTTCCAGTATAGCTAGAAATATCAAAGAAATGGAGCTGTATGGAAAATAAGTGGAAAATATAGATCACAGTGATCTACATATCTTATAAGCAAGAAGTATTCTTGAGGAAGTACCCTGGGTATCTACATATGAAGTTTGATATATTTGTGGTTAACAATTAAAAAAAGCAACGGAGCTAACTGAAAAATCTAACCACACCTATGGAGCTAACTGCAAAGTCTAACCACACTTATGGAGCTAACTGCAAAGTCTAACCACACCTATGGAGCAGAATGGAAAGTCTAACCACACCTATGGAGCTAACTGCAAAGTCTAACCACACCTATGGAGCTAACTGCAAAATCTAACCACACCTATGGAGCTAACTGCAAAATCTAACCAAACCTAAGGAGCTAACTGCAAAGTCTAACCACACCTATGGAGCTAACTGCAAAGTCTAACCACACCTATGGAGCTAACTGCAAAGTCTAACCACACTTATGGAGCAGAATGGAAAGTCTAACCCACACCTATGGAGCAGAATGGAAAATCTAACCCACACCTATGGAGCTAATTACAAAGTCTAACCACACCTATGGAGCAGAATGGAAAATCTAACCCACACCTATGGAGCAGAATGGAAAATCTAACCCACACCTATGGAGCAGAATGGAAAGTCTAACCCACACCTATGGAGCAGAATGGAAAGTCTAACCCACACCTATGGAGCAGAATGGAAAGTCTAACCCACACCTATGGAGCAGAATGGAAAGTCTAACCCACACCTATGGAGCAGAATGGAAAGTCTAACCCTCACCTATGGAGCTAATTACAAAGTCTAACCACACCTATGGAGCAGAATGGAAAGTCTAACCCACACCTATGGAGCTAACTACAAAGTCTAACCCACACCTATGGAGCAGAATGGAAAGTCTAACCCACACCTATGGAGCAGAATGGAAAGTCTAACCAAGTCACTGAAGCAAAATTACAGGTTAGGTTATATTTAACATCCTTTTATAGTCAATTTTTAAGGATGAGCTAGGTTTGGGTGGTGGAGGAAAACCAGACCTGCAGCCAGTACCTGGAGATTATCCTATGCAATCCTTGAATGTGTGTACCGGTAGTGGAGAGCTAATGATCTTAGACCGTCAGACGGCCAAACCAGAGCATAAGAATTGTTTTTATTTTACCTGATGAACTTAAGTTGTGTTCCAAGACTACAGGTGATGAAGAAAGATCAAAAGGAGTGCCTGCTGAGGTTAAGGGTATCAGGTTTCCAGGGTCGCTAAAATAAAATAAAATAATATTTATGCATTGTTGTAGAAGACAAGTTATGACTTTTAGAAATTTCACACAAAATCTCACCTCACAAAGATGTTTTGATGATGAAGCAATTCAATCAATTATGAAATGTTCATGAATCTAGTACAGGTAATATTTAAAGCTATTACTATCGCATGCCAAGTGAATTTTGTTATACTGACACTGACAGTTTTCAGACAATGCAATACCAAAGGTATCACATTTTACACTGTAACAATAAAGGTAACTCCTTTTTGCTAGAATCATTGGTTATTATCCACAGATCAAATCACCAAACTGAATTGAGAATGAGTTGGTACAAATCTGTGGTATGACAAGGCAACTTCACTATTCTGTCCGAAACATTGTTTCGATCAGTATGTGTTTGATGGAAGCAAACTGAACATAAATCCTGGAAAATCATGTGTGAAATTTTACAGAAATTTAATTATAGCATGCATATAAACTGCAATTAAAATGCAGCTGTACCTAATTTGTCTTTATCTAATTGTATAGGCAGACAAATGAGATGTATGCATCATCCACTCAATGAACTTGTGTTGTCTCTGCTGACATCAGGAAACATGTGTGGTATTGCGTAAATATTTTATAAAAAATTGGGCGTACCAATTTACCAGGGATCTTCTCTAATGCCGTCGCTTTGTACCCTGCTAATATTTATATGATTTTGTTTTTAATTCAAGCAATTTAAAGTGACCAGATAAGTATATACAAGGTAATGAGGTTCCGGTGATAATAAGAGTAAAACTACCTTTAGTCGTCATACAACATGTGTCTGATCATAACTACCTTAACTCGAAGTCAGTTGAACTGAAAGAGCTGTGACTGTTCTGTCGGTCGTTAGAGGTCCCAGATGTAACACTTGGCTCACGGCTGTAAAGTGATGACATCTGTGAAGATGTGCTATTAGCTGATGCCTTAAAATAAGGCAGCGTTTGCTTTGAAAGTTCACTGTCAATGTTTGTATCGAATGATCTCCTGCCCACTGTTGCCCCGTAGTCAGACTGATCCACTTCAGACAGATGGGAAGCAGCACTGTATGTCCCTGAATCATCTTCATCAAAACTTACAATATTAGCCATTTTCTTTTTCTTCTTTTTGTCCTTCTTCTTCAGTACATCTGTAAATCATGATCCAACATTTCATAAAAAAAAATCAATTGCAGAAAAGATATCTGGATACATTAGATAAATTATTTCTGCATCAATTTTACCAATCAAAATACACAACATTGTACAAAATCTAATAAATGTTGATTTAAAAAAAAAAGTTATAATGCCTATTTACCACAACTGGTAATGTACTGTGTACTGTATAACGAGTTATCTGGGAAACTGCAGAGACACTTCCTCTAACTTATAACTGATACTTTCTCTGACACTGTGTAGCTCACCTGAGGAAGCAGAGGGGCTTTCCTCACCAGCGATGACAGGGCGTGGCTCATCATCAGCCGTAGGAGAAGACTTGGCCACAGCATTGGGGACTGTGATAACATTGGTGGTAGGTTTCCTCACAGTGTTCAAGTCAGCATTATCTATGTTGATGGCAAATAGGATAGATCCTAAACCTGAAAAGTGTTATCAGTGTTAGACAAAATCGCTCTATTTAAAATATCAAGGGAATATATTTATTGAGGTTGTCCATTCATAACTTTCCATAGTCATCCTTAATCATTACTTTTAGGTTGTGAAAAGTAAATTTGCAGCAATTTGCGAGAATTTTTCTTGACTTTAAACAACTATTGTTTTATTCAGATATAACAAGACAATTTTTAATTTCTGAATATTTTTAAGCCATTTAAAGTATAATGGTGAATAACAGCCATGTAAATGTATAACGATAAACAGGCCTATACATCAATGTTAGTGTAGAGTGGAGGAGGTCAATGGCCTACATACCTGCGGCCATCATTGGCATCATGCTGCTCCTCTCCTGGTCCCGCAGAAATGACCAGCTCTCATAAAACTGACTGTAATCACACAACAACATTAAATTATTAATCAAATTGTACACTTCTGCATCAAACAATCACTGTGAACTTCTTTCCAAGTACTGTTCTATTCTCTGCCATGCATCAGATGATGTTCTTCACCAAAGCATGTTAACCATGATAAGAGTTTTACATTGAATATCTTTTAACAGCATCACTAATGAGCGATGCTGATCACAAACCTTATGGTTGATCATTATTATAAAATCATTTTGAACCTAATGTGATGTCTTTATTTAATAATCTTATTAAAAATGTTCCTTGGGGAACGTTATTGGAGATCTCCAATTACATATTTTACCCCTGAACACCATTTTGATCCACAATCCATGCAGAGAGCAAATCAAGACTGATTCATTCTTGTTTTGAAGGACAGTCAGTCACAATATTTGCTATCAGTGATGTGATGCGAGAATTCCTATGACTGTCGTAAAATGTAAATGACTTCATTCAAAGCAGTATAAGTACACCCCAACCTGAGAAGTTCCTCACTCTCCAGGAGCATATGTGTGTATCGCTCTAGGGAGTGCTCGTTCAGGGAGGCCCTAAGCCATGCTCTCCCACGTCCAGAGTCTGTGTTGATGCTCTGAAGCTTCAGGAATCTTTCAAGCTCATGTTTGGTGAGGTGTTCCTTCACGTACTGCCAGAACACTGCAACATATAAATATGTAACCCATAATGCATTGAAGCAATGGTGATCTACTGGATTACTTCGCTTCGACATAATGCAAGGTGTAAAATTGTGTGGCTGATTTTTTAAAAGTATTGAGAACAAATGTGCCTAAGAAAAGTAAAGGCAGTGTTTTTAAGGTCTCAGAAAGACTCATCAATTAGCACTATAATTTTTCTTCACATGGACACTTATTGCTGCCATTTTACCCCATATTTTTCTAAATTAATGTAGGTAGTATATCATATTAGGAGACTGGTTGGAAAATATATTGCAACTGGTAAGGGCGACTCTGTGAAGGAAAAATTTGATATAGAATGGCGTAAATGGAAAAAGTTAATTGATTTATAATATAGAGTACTCTTGCTGTTTTTTTACTTGTAAATTATTATTAGTAGTACCAGTGTTATTGTTATTCATATATCAAGTAGGCTTCTCCCAGCCCTTGGCAAAGCTGAAAATAGTATGTCTTGTCTATATATAGCTACCTCCCAACCTGTTCTTCCACTTTGTTTCTATTTCTTTTTCTCGCTTTCTTTTTCTTTTCTTTAAACGTCTTTAATTCTTTCTACATGCTATTTGTCTGTCCAGCCAATAAAGTGCAATATACATTCATGTAAATCTGATCTTATTTATCACTGCAGGTATACAATAGATAATTTATTGTTTATTTTTTTTTGTTACTGCATATGCTTCCTCAACTTTATGTGTATGATGTCAGGATGTGAGAGTCATGTGACATGTGGAAGGTGATCTTGTTTTCTTGATAATAACAGTGAGGATGATGATCACATGTACATGATGCAAGTATTTATGGTAATGACCAGTGTTGATTTGTATTTTTTCTCTGTATGATTATAACGATACAATGATATTGCTTTGATGATGATGATGATGGGATGATGATGATAATGATGATGACGAGATGATGATGATGAGATGATGATGATAATGATGATGATGAGATGATGATGATAATGATGATGATGCATTGTATGAAATATGATGAGATGTTGTTTTGTATTAAAAAAAAAGTGATGATGAAGGTGATGAGAATGATGATGAGGATGGTGCATGTCTGTGAGATGTGTTGGTCATGAGGCTATTGTCTATGATGGATGATGCTTGATGAATGATGATTATGATAATTGCTAATTTGATGAAGATGTATATTGCACATTAAAATGAAAATAAAAATCAAATTAAAAAAAATAATATTAGGAGAATTTCTAATTTTGGAGTCAACAAATGTGCGTCTCCATCATCACCTACCTGCTTCAGACTCCTTGTTGGTGATGTCATTGAACATGTCTGTCACCTTGTTGAGGCCTGTAATCTCTGTCACCTGTCTGTAAAGTAATACATATAAGTTACATTTACAATGGATATTTATTTTGACCCTTCAAAAGTCAACAGTATCTTTTTTATGGACGTTATGTATACGTTGAATTGGGAATGGAGTCTCAGAGTCTGGGATACTTGTATATGGCATACACACACGAATACATTTTAACAGAAAAAGTGTTGTAATATTTAAGCAGGTTTGGAGTAAGTAACCAACACTGATGTTTTCAATTTGGGTTATTTGCAAGTACACTGTATGTATATACATGTATTGGGGTAAATCTAACTGCGGTGTGTTCCTCCTTATGGACTAAACACTAAACGACTTACTTGAGGGCCAGGATGGCCTTGTTACTTTGTCGCATTCCGTGCTGCAGGCCAGTCTCCCAGGCAGCACACAGACAGGAAACTCTGAACAAGGAAACAGGGAAAACTCAATATTATATCATTTATAAAACTCCATCATTATTTATTACAATAAAATATAGTGTAAGAATTTTTGTAGTGCAATTTTGCTTTCCTGTAGAAACTTATGTTATCATAAAATCTTAATAAATAGCACCTGGAGTCAAATTGCAATTCATAGAATAACTTAATTTCAAATATTTCTTGAAACCTGAATTAAAAAGGAAAGATATCAAATAATAATCATTTTACCTGCTGTCTGCATCAGCTGCCAATTCAGTTCTGCCACCAAATCGTACTTGACACTGTAGTAGAAAGTGAAAGTAATAGAAAACATGAAACATCTGTTTGATAGTGCAACAATCAAATACTTGTACACCAAACAAAAATATCTAATATTTTCCTTCTTGTATGCCAAATTCTGCTGAAGCTGATGGGTATTTACTTTAACTGATACATATATTTCATACCTGTTTGACTGCATCTAGGAGTCTGGTCAGTATACTTTGTCGCTCATTAACATGAGGATCATCCCCTATACAAAGCAAATCAAAATAACAATTTGAATAATGTCTGCTGTTGTCTCAGTTCCTGTTATATGATAACATTATACTGTATTGGAACATCACATCATGCTGAATAGTTTTAAGGGCTTACATTCTAAATAAATGCACACATTAATTACTATAACTGTGACAATTACATTTCAGTGACAATAACTGTGTTATCACAGATGTCATTCTTTACAACAAAAAAGCACAAAAAATAGCATTTGGATATCAATGCGTAACCTTTAGAGAGTCAGTGCATTAAGTACTTCTTGATTCTGGACATGTGTGCCAAAGTTGGGAATATAAATCTCCAGGGGCGGGACCAGACCAATGCACCAATTATGACAGCATGCTTGCGTGTCTCCTTATTCCTACAGCTATTGCATATTTAGTTATGAGGTTGAGATATCAACCATTTCCATGTGTTAAGACCTAGGGTGTTGATTCCCGGAGTGAGGGCAAACACATGCCAGGATCATGTGCCTTACCTGATAAGATTCAAAAACATTTCAAATTGCAGTAAATTACTCAGTGCAGACTTATTGTCTGGTTGACAGTACCGATCAGGCTACTATAAGCTGGGACTGCAGTCGACGAAGGTACATGTAACAGAATACTCTACAGGTAACTACATAAATGTACTATATGATAGTATATCAGTGATGATCTACAATTCCAACCAGTCTCTGTTAGTCTGTAAAATATGAACCGAACTAAAGCGGTAAGTCATGGATGTTTACTATACGTACCATTCATTCTTGTTGGTCCATGCAATGATGGGCTTTCATCTAAAATCTGACACTGGAATATGAAGCTAAAATATCAGTAAATCTATGGGCATCCCACTGTTTGTTTTGACTTCTTTACAGTACGGTGCTTCCCCTTTGGTCATGGTCTGTCATGTGACTTCACAGAACCGGATCTTCCGGTTACCCTCTTTTTAGACGGTAAGTAAAACATGGTGGAACGATAAAAATCCACGAAAGTAAATCTACGGTCATCTTACTATTAAAAGAGAATGTGTAAATCTGAATAAGTACATCGCTTAGGTAAACATTTTTGTATATTTTTGTTTTTTCATTTGCACAATTAACTCGCGATTCTTACATATTTTCAGCCTTCAAGATGGGGCGCCGACCAGCTCGTTGGTAAGTTTCACGTTTTTTGGCTACAGAAGTCTATTGGTTATGAACTTTCTAGAGCCAGATTAACTATAAAATACGGATTTTCCATAATTCCGGTTCAACAGTAAATAATCGCTTTTGCAGATTATCTACATGTCATCAATTCAGTTGTTTTTTCTCAGTTTATTGCCGAAATAAAAGCTTCGTTCTAGTTTTACTACTGAACATGCACAACGTTAACGTTGTTTCATATTTGTGTGTTTTCCAGTTACAGATATTGTAAAAACAAGCCATACCCCAAGTCAAGGTTTTGTCGTGGTGTTCCAGGTAAGCAAAACAGCAGATCTGGATAATATTGTGAAATTACTTTCAGCGCTTTTCATGGTTTATCTTTGTAAACAGTTCATGTTATGTCAGTTTCTGAAGACGATATTTTGAAGTCAATGAAGATCCCAACCTGTCAAATTTGAATAAGATTGAAATGTATGTGTGGGGGGAAATAATTATATGTAAATTAACAAAACAAAAAAAAATGTATTAAAGTGTTGAATTTGGATTTGACATGAAAAAGATAGTACATGTATTGTCAAGTTTCATGCAGTACCAGCTCCAGACTGACATGTTTTTCAGTTTGGCCGTTCCAATACTGCAATATTAAAACTTGGGTCGCTATATCGGCTCACTGTATCTAGTGATTTTGTTAAAATGCTGTTCATATTTTCAGTGTTTGTACAACTTCATATATAGGTAAATGTATTTAAATGGTTTTATTATGTCGGATTTTGACTTTTGTGAATATTTATTTTTCAATGATGATATTCAGATTCCAAGATCCGTATCTTTGATCTTGGCAAGAAGAAGGCCTTGGTAGACGAGTTCTCACTATGCGTGCATCTCGTGTCTGACGAGTTGGAACAGTTGTCATCTGAGGCACTGGAAGCCAGCCGTATCTGTGCAAACAAATACCTTGTGAAGAACTGCGGCAAGGACTCTTTCCATTTAAGAATGCGAGTGCATCCCTTCCATGTTTGCAGAATCAACAAGATGTTGTCATGTGCTGGAGCTGATAGGTAATTACCATTGAAGGATTTTTTCATTATTTTTATTAAAAAGACATAAATAGACGCTTTTTTTTCTCCAATATGGAATTACACAACCCTAATAACATCAAATTGATTTTAACACGACTGCCAATTTTAAGTTGGAAGTTGTAACCCCAAAATCAATTTTTACATATATTTTTTTGTATTAAGGACTTTTTTAACCCAATAATGGGGTCCATTCCCAATTGAAACCATTTCACATTTATGCCTCATTCACAAAATTTACAGTTGACACCTGAAAGTTTCCTTCCAAAATGAGACAAAAAGGCTCCATCCAAAGTAAACAGAGGGAGGCAGGGGGAGCCTTCTGATATATATCGATATTAATGCATTCTAAGTTCTCAAGTTTACAGCTTTAGTGCAGAAAACTATCTTATTGCTGATTTATTGGGATACAATTTTCAGGCTTCAGACAGGGATGCGTGGCGCCTATGGTAAACCTCAAGGAACTGTCGCCCGTGTGCGCATCGGCCAGTCCATAATGTCCTGTCGTGCAAGGGAAAACAACCGAGCTGCAGTTATTGAGGCCCTCAGGAGAGCAAAGTTCAAGTTCCCAGGAAGACAGAAGGTATCCATCATTCCTATAAAAAAACAATGTTAGGTGCAGTACCAGCTCCAGACTGTCATGCGTTGTCAGTTTTGATCGTTCCAATACTGCAATAATAAAACTTTGGTCGTTATATCAGCTCTGAATGGAGATCTTGTCATTGGATTTTAATGTTTCTCTGCCAGATTTTCCTAAGTTACCACTTTTCGAAAAAGCAATACCAGCTTCCAAATAACACATTTTTGTAGATTTTGATTGGTCACCTCAAATTGACTGATAGTGATTTTTTTTTGCTAAAGGTGCAGTACCAGCAAACAACCTCCTTGTGCTGGTTTGATCTTGCTACCTCTGCAATATGAATACTTTGGGTTACTAAATCATATTACTATTCTTTTACCATGATGGTTTATCATTCATGGCCCAATGACAAGATCACAGACTTTCCCCCATGAAATAAATGTAAATGAACCCTGTACCATTTGTTCACATTTTGTTTGTACAGATTTGGAAAATAGAATATGGTTGATTAAAATAGTACAACGTCCTTCACAAGGAATGTATATAATGAAGCAGTACCAGCTCCAAACTGACATGTGTTGTTAGTTTGATCGTTCTATTACTGCAATATAAACACCCTGGCTGCTATATCGGCCCACATATATTGGTGGGGTTGTTAAATGGCCTCGGTGACACATTTATTTCTTACTTTAGGGATTTATATGAAAGTTAAAATTGTTAAGTTTCAAGACACAAAAACAAAATAAAAAGCAAGTATGCATAGGTGCAATACCAGTTAAAATAATATCCAGTTGTTAGTTTGATTGTTTTACCTCTGCATTATAAATGCTTTGCTATATTAATTCACTATTCTAGTGGTGGTGAATTGAATGGTCTTTGTGAAAAGAAAAATGCATTTACGCAGGATCCATAAACATTTTGCATTGAAAGAATAAACATTCATCATTTTCTGTATACCATTTTTATATGCTCATCAAATTTTGACGTGAGTATTGTGGTATGGGGTCGTCTGTCCGGCATAAACTTTTGTTTGTCCGGCAATCTCCTCCTACATTTTTCGACCAATCTCTTTGAAACTTGGTATTATAATCATTATTTGAAGTTGTCTCCTTTAAAAGAATTTTGACTGAACCAATTTTTCAAAAGTTATTGCCCTTTGTTTATTTGATTTTTGTACAGCATTTTCCTCGTCAATTTTTTGACGTTTTTTTAAAACTTAGTAGGCTAAATAATCATATGTTATTGTGTTTCCTTGGAAAGAATTTTGATGCAACAATTTTGAAAAAAGGTAATGTCCTTTGTTTATTTCAGTATTTGATTTTTTTCCGGCAATCATCTACATTTTTCAACGGGTCTCTTTGAAACTTTGTATACCTTATAATCACGATATGAATTTTCTCCCTTAAAAGAATTTTGATTCAACGATTTTTTGGCAAAAGTTTTTGCCCTTTGTTCATTTCAGTATTTGATTTTTTTTTGTCCAGAGATTTTCTCCTATATTTTTTATAGCATGTCGACTAACCACTCTTAGAATGATGCAGATCTTATTTCAATGAAAGAAAGTATATAACACTATATGGCATTCGACGGGCATATATTGTTCCGCGGTACTCTTGTTAGAAATGCAGAAAGTAGTCTATAAATTGAAAGTAAAATATTTGTTTCAAGTAGTTCTTGCTTGGTTTAATGAAACATCTCAGCCTTAAGTGGGTAAGATGAATGGCTTCCACAAGGATTGAATTTAATAAAGCAGTACCAGCTCCAAACTGATATGTGTTGTTAGTTTGATCGTTCCAATACTGCAATATAAACACTTTGGTCGCTATATCAACTCACTGTATCAAGTGATTTGATACGTAACCTCAGTAACAAAGACAATGTTTGTGGATGTGTAGTCTTTGTAAAACTAAGAATAGCTATTCCAAAAGCAAATGTGTCATCTTTGTAGGAAGTTGAAAGCAAGATGGAGGACATTTAGGCCTACCACAACAGTTAAAACTTTTCCTTGGGTAGTCAATACATCAGCTTTTTGTTTTCCATCTACAATACCCATTCCCCCCACCCTTCCCTTTTGTATTATAAATTATGTGTTGCTCCAACTACTTCATAATATATCCCACCCTTCACAGGCGTGTCTCCCGTTTTAGCCTGGAAAGATCAGCTTGTCACCCCCCCCACCCTTTAGGGGGGGATAGCCTCGTGCCAATTAGCATGTGTTCAATTGTGATGTCATTAAGATGCGTCATCGGTAATTGTGACGTCATCAAAAGTGAATGACGATATGCATACCCCACATGTTTTTGTTTACAAACATGGCAGACTACTGTCGGTGGAGCTGTGACTGAAATATTAGGATGGGAGAAAAATAATCATCCCCTACCTTGAGGGTGTAACAGAAATCAGGGCAGGGGAAGATTCTATTAATCACATCTGAAATAGCCCTGATTTTGTTGGATATTTGAGATACATGCTTTATGAATTAAAATAAAGCAGTACCAGCTCCAAACTGACATGTGTTAGTTTGATCGTTCCAATACTGCAATATAAACACTTTGGTCGCTATATCAACTCCCTGTATCAAGTGATTTGATACGTAACCTCAGTAACAAAGACAATGTTTGTGGATGTGTAGTCTTTGTAAAACTAAGAATAGCTATTCCAGAAGCAAGTGTATTTAGGGAGTTCAAAACCTGTATGGACGGCGAGGAGGCTTATCACCTTAGCTGTGGGTATCCTGCCTCTGTCGATACAGATGGTGCTTATTATCAACCTTCAGGTACTCGCCCCTTAATATAATCATTTCTTGAATAGCCCTGATTTTGTTGGATATTTGAGATACATGCTTTATAAATTAAAATAAAGCAGTACCAGCTCCAAACTGACATGTGTTGTTAGTTTGATCGTTCTATTACTGCAATATAAACACCCTGGCTGCTATATCGGCCCACATATATTGGTGGGTTTGTTAAATGGCCTCGGTGACACATTTATTTCTTACTTTAGGGATTTATATGAAAATTAAAATTGTTAAGTTTCAAGACACAAGAACGAAAAAAAATGCAATAAAATGCAAGTATGCATAGCTGCAATACCAGTTAAAATAATATCCAGTTGTTAGTTTGATAGTTTTACCTCTGCATTATAATGCTTTGCTATATTAATTCACTATTCTAGTGGTGGTGAATTGAATGGTCTTTGTGAAAAGAAAAATGAAATTATGCAGGGTCCATAAACTTTTTGCATTGAAAGAATAAACATTCATCATTTTCTGTATACCATTTTTAGAAATGCAGAAAGTAGCCAATAAATGAAAAGTAAAATATTTGATTCAGGTAGTTCTTGCTTGGTTTAATGAAACCTCTCAGCCTTAAGTGGGTAAGATGAATGGCTTCCACAAGGATTGAATGTAATAAAGCAGTACCAGCTCCAAACTGATATGTGTTGTTAGTTTGATCGTTCCAATACTGCAATATAAACACTTTGGTCGCTATATCAACTCACTGTATCAAGTGATTTGATACGTAACCTCAGTAACAAAGACAATGTTTGTGGATGTGTAGTCTTTGTAAAACTAAGAATAGCTATTCCAGAAGCAAGTGTATCATCTTTGTGGGAAGTTGAAAGCGGGATGGAGGACATTTAGGCCTACCACAACAGTTAAAACTTTTCCTTGGGTTGTCAATACACCAGCTTTTTGTTTTCAATCTACAATACCCATTCCCCCCACCCTTCCCTTTTGTATTATAAATTATGTGTTGCTCCAACTACTTCATAATATATCCCACCCTTCACAGGCGTGTCTCCCGTTTTAGCCTGGAAAGATCAGCTTGTCACCCCCCCCACCCTTTAGGGGGGGATAGCCTCGTGCCAATTAGCATGTGTTCAATTGTGATGTCATTAAGATGCGTCATCGGTAATTGTGACGTCATCAAAAGTGAATGACGATATGCATACCCCACATGTTTTTGTTTACAAACATGGCAGACTACTGTCGGTGGAGCTGTGACTGAAATATTAGGATGGGAGAAAAATAATCATCCCCTACCTTGAGGGTGTAACAGAAATCAGGGCAGGGGAAGATTCTATTAATCACATCTGAAATAGCCCTGATTTTGTTGGATATTTGAGATACATGCTTTATGAATTAAAATAAAGCAGTACCAGCTCCAAACTGACATGTGTTAGTTTGATCGTTCCAATACTGCAATATAAACACTTTGGTCGCTATATCAACTCCCTGTATCAAGTGATTTGATACGTAACCTCAGTAACAAAGACAATGTTTGTGGATGTGTAGTCTTTGTAAAACTAAGAATAGCTATTCCAGAAGCAAGTGTATTTAGGGAGTTCAAAACCTGTATGGACGGCGAGGAGGCTTATCACCTTAGCTGTGGGTATCCTGCCTCTGTCGATACAGATGGTGCTTATTATCAACCTTCAGGTACTCGCCCCTTAATATAATCATTTCTTGAATAGCCCTGATTTTGTTGGATATTTGAGATACATGCTTTATAAATTAAAATAAAGCAGTACCAGCTCCAAACTGACATGTGTTGTTAGTTTGATCGTTCTATTACTGCAATATAAACACCCTGGCTGCTATATCGGCCCACATATATTGGTGGGTTTGTTAAATGGCCTCGGTGACACATTTATTTCTTACTTTAGGGATTTATATGAAAATTAAAATTGTTAAGTTTCAAGACACAAGAACGAAAAAAAATGCAATAAAATGCAAGTATGCATAGCTGCAATACCAGTTAAAATAATATCCAGTTGTTAGTTTGATAGTTTTACCTCTGCATTATAATGCTTTGCTATATTAATTCACTATTCTAGTGGTGGTGAATTGAATGGTCTTTGTGAAAAGAAAAATGAAATTATGCAGGGTCCATAAACTTTTTGCATTGAAAGAATAAACATTCATCATTTTCTGTATACCATTTTTAGAAATGCAGAAAGTAGCCAATAAATGAAAAGTAAAATATTTGATTCAGGTAGTTCTTGCTTGGTTTAATGAAACCTCTCAGCCTTAAGTGGGTAAGATGAATGGCTTCCACAAGGATTGAATGTAATAAAGCAGTACCAGCTCCAAACTGATATGTGTTGTTAGTTTGATCGTTCCAATACTGCAATATAAACACTTTGGTCGCTATATCAACTCACTGTATCAAGTGATTTGATACGTAACCTCAGTAACAAAGACAATGTTTGTGGATGTGTAGTCTTTGTAAAACTAAGAATAGCTATTCCAGAAGCAAGTGTATCATCTTTGTGGGAAGTTGAAAGCGGGATGGAGGACATTTAGGCCTACCACAACAGTTAAAACTTTTCCTTGGGTTGTCAATACACCAGCTTTTTGTTTTCAATCTACAATACCCATTCCCTTTTGTTTTATGTATTATGTATTATGTGTTGCTCCTACTACCTCGTAATATAATCACATCTGAAATAGTCCTGATTTTGTTGGATATTTGAGATACATGCTTTATAAATTAAAATGAAGCAGTACCAGCTCCAAACTGTCATGTGTTGTTAGTTTGATCGTTCTATTACTGCAATATAAACACCCTGGCTGCTATATCGGCCCACATATATTGGTGGGTTTGTTAAATGGCCTCGGTGACATTGTTGTTTAAAAAGTCGGTAATTATGCATGTCGATGAGAAAGAATAATAAAATTCTTTTAACGTTGGCATATAAAATAAAACTAATTATAGTTGATTGCATTCTCACAGCTCTGTTTGTTTCTTTCAGATCTTCGTGTCAAAGAAATGGGGCTTCACAAAGTGGGAGAAAGATGTGTACGAGGAGATGAGGCAGGATGGACGTCTCATTTCTGATGGTGTCAACTGTCAATACAAACCCAACAAGGGTCCTCTGAGTGCATGGAAGCATCTTACTACCTTGCGGCTGTCGTGAAAGCTTTCACATAAATTATAAAGACAAACCAATCATGTGATTAAAATCTGGACACCAGGACATCCTGTTTTTGTTTTCTTTTTATTAAGGATAAAACATTTTTAAGCTTGCCTGAAAACCATGTCAGCTATTGCTATTCAGTCTTCTGGCATCTGTTAACATTTTAACTTCAAATCCACCTTTTTGAGGAGATTTGACAAAAGTAGGAATGAACTCAACATCGTCTCGGCAAATTACTGTTATTGATAGTCATTTTCTAAATCTCTTGAAACTTTTTAACAGATTTTGCTGAAACTTTGTTTTTGACCAGCTGTTACTGTTCTGGGACAAGTGAAATCCAGCAAGTCAACATTTTTGTGTTGCAGTAGTACCTCTTACAGTGTCCACCTTTACCCCTTTCGTTTGTTTGTAAATCTTGCCATCATTTAGCCTTAAAGGTCCATTGTTTTTGATAAAAACAGGATCTTTGGTACAAATTTGTTAACTTGGTTTGCAAGTAACATGGGATGTAACACCAAACTGGTATTACATTTCTTTCATAAAACCTACATGACAAATACCTTGGTAACTGTTTTTAGCGTGAAATATAGAAGTTTAAAATTTGGTGCAATTTTATATAATCCATTCAAAAGATTTGAGACCTGTTATTGACATTGGAAATTGCATCTCTATGAAGCTCGTGTGTTGCACACTCAACTTTAGGGTTGCACTCCAACAAGTTTGTCTGGGACATATTGGGATGGCAGAGTTTAAGAAGGTCACTGACCTGTCTTTGACCTTAACTTTTTTGAAAAAGTTTGTCCGTGGCATTTCACTTGGGATGGCAGAGTGCAAGAAGAAGGTCACTGACCTATGACTTGACCTTTACCTTTGAAATGTTTGTCTGGGGCATATCTTCTTATATTTTCTCTGGAGTAACCAGATTTCATGTTCAAAAACATCTTCGGATGGCAGAGTGCAAGGTCATTGTGACCTATGACTTGACCTTTGCTTTTGACGAAATTTGTCCATATCTTCTGGAGTAACCAGATTTGGTGTACAAAGACATCTTGGGATGGTAGAGTGCAAGAATTAGGTCAGTGTGACCTATGACTTGACCTTTACTTTTAATAACAAAAAATGTTCGGAGCATATCTTCTGTACTGTTTCACCTGGAGTTGCCAGATTTGGTGTACAAGGACATCCATGGATGATGCGTTTGTTAAATATAGAAATCATTACCAGTGGGAAACGATGGATTGCCTTGCAATACTTTGCCATGTTTTCTCTTGTGTCGGATTACTTTGCTCCATATTACCTTGGTCAACAGAAATGTTTACATTCTCACTCCTCTACCAGATATCACAATTTCAGTGATATGACAACTCGAGAAGAAAATGAAAGATTTTGAATGTTTTTGTTGATATCACACATGTTCAGATTAAATGGATCCACACTTATTCACTAGACTTGCCCAGCTATAACACCAGCAGATCTTGTAAAGAGAAAATGAATATCCAAAGTTTGGAATTAATTTGTCGACAATACTTCAGGATCAAATATAATCAGATCTGGTAAATCTAATTGATAACCTGCATTACAAAGAAAATCATACACGAAACATTTTGCATTGACATTTTTTATAAACAATCTTTAACAATACATTTAATGAAAGGAAACAAAATTTACCTAATGCAGTTACCTTCGTATCCCAACTCCACATGCAGAGTTTGTTCATCGGTTTTAGCGATGTCAGTTTATCTTATCGATTATGGTTTATTTATTACTAATGGAAACAACACCACCAGGATTTCCGTTATCTTTCGAGTAGTCGCTGTTTACAAGGGCTTCAATATGGAACATGTTTTGTATTAAGCAATCTTTAACAATAAAGCAAAGATTCAGAACTGAAACTAAATTAAAGCAGTTCTATTTCAACTCGGCATGCAAACAATTTTCAACGTTTTCTTGCAATTGTGGCGAAGATGGATTGGCGATGTCTGCTTTTCTGAATAGTTATGGTTTATCCTCGTTAATGGAGACAACACCGCCAGGAGTCATGTTGACCTTTGAGGGGTCAAAAGGCTGTCCTTTGAACGGTGACCCATCTGCATCCCAGGCATCCTGCAGTAAGTTGTGAACTTTCTGGAAAATTAGAACATGCACATCTGTTTTTAAAGTGGAGATTCAATTTCAAATACATGTACATGAAAACCAAATAATGGTGAAATACAACTCCCTAACAGTTTTTACGGACAAATAATGATGTTATAATATTCTCTAGCGGTAAAATTTTTGATATACAATAGTCTTCAAGTGAGCAGTACATGGACTGATTACAAAATTAACATTGGAATTTATGTCTCAACCCTTCTTCTAGGTAGGTAACTTTTGCATTGCCCGCAAAATTCAATTAAACATATTTCATTCAAATATTGAGTCAGTAAATAATTTATACTTCACTGTATTATAATACTGACTTTTTCATCACTAGTTGGGAGTCCCAGTTTCTTCTGTCGATCATTATACATCATCTCCCCAATCTTGGCTTGAGCCTCGTCATCTAGATCAGACATCGGTCGACTGGCATCAATCTTCCTCACATTTATCTTGGTTTCTGAAACAAGTAATGCCTCCCACCATCGCTCCTCTTTCTTCTCCAAATTCACCTGGGAAAAAAAAGACAAAATGTTCATGATATGTCATCAAATGTGACAAACTTGACAAGAATGAATAATAAGCTAAATAATGAGCTAAAATGAAAAATTTGTGATGAGTTTCAGAAATTATATATGAAATGAAAACGAGTGCGAGATCTCTTTTTAACAAATAATCAAGATTTGTGATGAGTTTCAGAAATTATATATGAAATGAAAACGAGTGCGAGATCTCTTTTTAACAAATAATCAAGATTTGTGGCATTTATTTGTGTAAAACGTCAATTTTCATGCACTCTTGAAATGTAACAAGAGGCCCAAGGGCCTTAGCGGTCACCTGAGTTATATCATAGGTACTGGTAGCTTTATTTTATTGTTTAGATGTGATGTGGAAATCAGCATGTAAACTACCTAAGTGAAATTCAATACTTGTCATGTCATCAATGGATAAGAATTTGAAAATATTGGTAAATGTTCCCTTTGGGGCCCCGCCCTAGCCCCTGGGGATGGGGCAGGAATCCTAATTTTACAAAGTAAAACTCTCATTTACCCAAGATGATTCTGACTAAGTTTGAGCAATTTTCTGCTGAAAATGGATAAAATATATACCGAAAAGTGTTATTTCCCTATATAAACTATATTAAACGTTACCCCCTCCCCAAGGGAGAACGGATAGCTCGGGGTCCTGATATTTTCAATTTAAATAAAGCCCCTGATGATCTTTCTTTCCACGTAAAGAAAATCACTGTAGTACCTCTGAGTCTGGAGAAGAAGATTTTTGAAATATTGATTAATTTTCCCTTTGGGGCCCCGCCCTGGCCCCAGGGGTCGGGGTAGGAATCTCAATTTTACAATTTGAAACCATCTACCTCCAAGGATAATTCTCACCAAGTAAAAATAATTTCCTACAGAAAGTTGTCAAAATATACCCAAAAGTGTTATTTCCCTATATAAACTATAGTAAACTTTACCCCCTCCCCAAGGGAGAACGGATAGCTCGGGGGTCCTGAAATTTACAATTTAAGTAAAGCCCCTGATGATCTTTCTTTCCACGTAGAGAAAATCACTGTAGTACCTCTGAGTCTGGAGAAGAAGATTTTTGAAATATTGATTAATTTTCCCTTTGGGGCCCCGCCCTGGCCCCAGGGGTTGGGGTAGGAATCCCAATTTTACAATTTTGAAGCCTCATCTACCAAGGATGATTCTGACCAAGTTTGAAAAAAATCCATCCACTGGTTCTTGAGAAGAAGTTGAAAATGTAAAAGTTTACGCACGACGGAGGAAAAGCGATTAGAAAAGGTCACTTGAGCAAAGCTCAGGTGACCTAAAAAGCCATCATTTTGTCTCCAGTGCACAAGTCTGACGTCATGTACTCTTAGGCGTGACGTCCCAAATGAAACAATTGAAATTTAAAACCAATCACTGGGCTGATATATCGCTATAGGTTATATTACATTGGTTATTATGCAAAAAAATATGACATGGATATATTCACTGAATAACACAGTATATTATGTGATAAAGTAATTTATAATCATTATCATATATGGCAAAATGTCTTGATACATTATGGTCTTTAGCACTACCCATATATATGCACTTATGTGCCTGACAATGCATCCACGCATGGCAACAGACTTCCCTGTAAATGGCTTTTTTTTGCAAGAAATTATGTTTTGAGAATTTCATTCTACAGCAAGTATAATGATAATGATAGATTATCATTATATATACTTAAATGGTGTCCTCTAATCGTGAATTGAGTATTTGCAAGTATTTAAAAAAATAAAGTACACACGACAAAACATGGCTAACAGTTCATAACATAGCACTAAGGGTTGAATAGCTTACATGTATGTGGTCACCAGGCACCAGGCTCCACATAGACTCTTCCTTCATTACGTCCCAGGACAGTACATCATTCATAATGTCCAGCCACTGCCCAGTGTCCAGTTTGTAGGAAACCTTCAATCGCTTCTTTTCGATCACAACCTTCACATCTTTGCCTTTCGTTACATACTTTGGTACCTGTTTCATGGGAAAAGAACTTTGATAATTGACAAAATATATTTACATTATTTTTATTAACTATAGCTCTTGAATATTTCAGGTCTGATGGCGGGGACAACTTTAATCAGGTCATTTTTATATGTCTTTGTCAGGAAATATTACAATTTCGACTACCTATGTATTATTTTTAACAAGTTTTATGGTACTTCAATGAAAATTTATCCATTGTACAGTTTTCCAATATGTTGAATGGCATGATATTATCCATATACATGAACAAAAAATGCAGTATATCGATGTGCATAAAGAACATAAATTTACAGAAACACCTTGACGTCTAAAACAGATTAGGGACTCCAATTTAGACATACTTTGATCTGTGCATCTACATCATTGATGGTTTGTGACCAAGAATAGTTGTCCCTCATGGCGCCATTGTGACTGGCGGGGTTGGCCTGAAACTTCTCTTGTTGTCTGTAAAATGGTACATGGTTTTAAGAAAACGGGTATTTCAGCTGGTGGTTTCATACAGCTTTAAAGTAAAAAATTAGGTGTAAGATAGATAAATGAGAACTGCAGAAGACAATGTCCCAGCATTACATCAAAGTTATTTATAATTATTGCAACAGAAACCAAAATATCAAGAAAATTAACTTTTCGTAATAAAATGAAAACAGCTACAGGTTCATTACGATTCACTAGAACCTTTTGCTTTTCTGAAATGCTTACCATGTATCAAAATGTTGACCTGTTACTTTCCAAACAAGCATTACACCTTTTTGATCCCCTTTTGACAACCCTTACTTTTGGCACAGGGACATGTGTTACATGACATACTTGCCTAGTCATAATATGCTCATAAATATTCATAAAATCTTCAGGTGATCAGAAGTTTTCTGCTAGACATGATAATAATGGATGGAGGTAGTTTGTATACATACGTACTTAACTTCTTGTGTTTGGAGATGGTTATATTAGAAGGCTTATTAATGATAATGTGTCCTTACCATACCAGGAAATCCAATACAGTATTGATATGCCAGTAATGTATCTGTAGAATTTGTAAATATGTTGCACGAGAACACTAGGTTGCATGATATACCCATCAGCAGTCACAATGATGTAGATTTACAGGTGTAACACTCAGTTAGATATATGAAGAATATGGAAATAGGAAGAAGATACTGTTACACACTTGATCTAACAGTAAATGTGACATTTAAAAGAATACCCCCCAGTACTGAAATACAGGAGTGTGACATGGTTTACGATATTTAATAAATCTAAAGATTGAAAATGGGAAAAAATATATTAAAGGCACATATATCAATGACCTACTTTGTGAGTTCTGGATCCTGGTCTTTCTTTTCACTGTTTTTATCAGAAGGTTTGTTTTCAACTCGACTGGCATCTTCTGTGACCATTGGCTGTGGTGTTTCATGGCTGCCTGATGCGGAGGTACTCTCCCCTGAATCAACAGATCCTGGTGATCTACCGCTGACTTCCCCAATCGGCTGGTTGGAAGTTGGTACTTCTACAGTTCTAACAGCTGCTGGAGGTACTGTATCAGTCGGTTCCAATGCCTCTACCAACAGGAAGGAAAATTATTTACATAAATGTGTTACATATGCTGTCCTTGTCCTAGATTTCAATTTCTATATTAACCACAAAACTATATTAAAAAGGAACACACTTCATAGACATTTTTTTTGTTAATGCAATACTAGGTCCTGAACATTTCTAAGTGTCATCTGATTGATACAGAATATAAGACTTTTTAGGACCAGGGATGTGGGACAAGGAAATTCCTCCAAAGGGGATTTCAAATTGGGTGAAACCTGAGGGTACAGATATTTTTGCACTAATTTAAATATCTTGAAAGTGGACTTAACCTATGCTACACCCTTGGGCATAAAAAAGCATTTTTCTTTCGTTCCAATCACCAGAATTAGCTCAGAAACCACAACAAGGCATCAGGTTTTGCATCACAACATTAGAATGATCATGATGTCGAGCCATTCATGTTGTCCCATTGTGACATACTGCACGTATACATAATATTGAGTATAAGATAGGAATAGTTTACACCCCCTTTTTTAACCTTTCATTTGCTTTAAGTTTTCCTTTTCTGCTTCATCCTTTCTTGCCAAGTCTTCATACTGTTTATAGGCCTGTCGAAATATAAATACAAAGTACATGTATAAGAAATAAATCAAAACCTTGTCTAAAATTTCTAATCATTACCATATACATGAACTACCATCAAGTAAAACCTCTCAAGCTGTGACCTTCATCTAAATTGTATTTACTTGACATTCAATTGTTCTTGAGATTGGTGTCAGAAATAATTGCTCTAAATTTTTCGCATCTTGCTTGAAAACATCAGTCAGAATTGAGTGTTAAAGGACAGGACAAATGCCAAAAAATGCCGAAGGACCAAGGTGAGCTTATGCCATGCATACCGTGGCGTCCGTCGGTCAACAATTTCTTTAAACAACTTCTTCTTCTAAACCACTGATTGGAATTCAACTAAATTTGACTGGAAGCATCCCTAGGTGGTGAGGATTCAAAATTGAACAAATGGTAAGGCCCAGGGGGCTGAGGGGCGGGGGCAATTTGGCTTTATTGCTTGAAGCGACTTCTTCTGTAGAACTATGCCATGGATATGGATCATATTTGGTAGGAAGCATTCATGGGAGGCAGGGATTCAAAATTGTACAAATGGTGGGGATGACCCACTGGGCTAAGGGGTGGGGCCAAAGAAAGTTTATTACTTGGATATGGTTGAGTTCCCCATCGTATAAAGAGAAGAATGCACATTTGATTCCAGGATGGCCCTGGCCTAGGGTCTGGCCCCACCCTTGGAGACATAGTCCCTGGGTCATAACTTTGAAACAGTTGAGATCCCCACCCCAGAACTATATATACAAATGCTGGACATAAAGAGACGAATACAGTCATGATATTAGAATAGACCCTGGGGTCTTGCCACAACCCTACGGACCTAGTTTCTGAGTCACAGCTTGGAAACAGTTAAGATCCCCACCCTATAACCATATATACAATTGCTGAGTATAAAGAGATGAATGCACATAAATCCTCCAGGATGGCCTTGGGGTCTGCCCCACCCTTGGAGACTTAACCCCTGGGTCATAACTTTGAAACCGTTGAGAATCCCATCCCAAAACTATAAATACAAATGCTAGGCAAAAAGAGACGAATGCATTCATGATATTAGAATTGATCCTGGGGTCTGGCCACAACCCTAATGACCTAGTTTCTGTGTCACAGCTTAGACACAGTTGAGATCCCCACACCATAACCATACATAAAATTGCTGGACATGAGAAATCTAATACAGATATGCTACAAGGATTGGCCTTGGGGTCTGGCATATTCCCTTGGATCTCATTTGGTGAATATTTTGCCATGGTTGCTTAGATATCCAGGCCTTATCTACATTTGCATACATAGTAAATATTGAAATCTGTAATAAGTTTTGAGGGAATTCCTTTTTTTTGCAATCATGATTCATCTTTATCCCATGATATTTTAATTATGAACTTTCTTATTCTGGTACAAAGAGATAGAGATAAGATATATGTGGATTATTTTTCTTATGTTATTGTACAATTTATTGATCTAAAAAAAATGACAAGCAAAATATTTCAGATTTTGATTTTGGGAATGAACAGAAAATCAGTTCACGCATAAACTTTAAGAGGTAGGGGATTTAATCTCCAGGAGGATTTAATTTCCAAAAAGGAATTAAGCCTTTATTGGTTTCTGACATAATAATCTGTTTCATTTGCTCTGCTTTCCCTGATGAGCACTGTGGAATACCATTAAGGTATCCACCCCAGGATCCCTACCACAACTATGGAACTGACTTCCTTGCAGGGACGTTGGGTCAATACATTTGAACAGAAGAACAACATTATCCTTAAAAGAAGCTTCAGCAGATGTGAACCTCACAGACTAATGATTATAAACCTTGAGAATGTATTCAACACTTTGCAGTATGGACGTAACACAACATATTGTTGCCAGCCTCAGAACACAACTTGCACAGACTGTACTTTACCAACCCTCTATACAACTTGATCTTCTTATAACTGATGCCACAGGATTACCCTACAGAACTCACTGATGCCACAGGATTACCCTACAGAACTCTGATGCAAGGACCTTTTCTTCTTCGGGGTTTTCCTAATCGAACACTCTAGAACTGCTCACATGCTTATTGACTTGTACTCAATTTACAACAGTTCTGACAATTTAATCACCAGCTTTATTCCTTCTATTACAATTTCCATTCCTTAAGAGACAGAACAATAACCTTAGAGATTTGCTTGTTTGAGCACTTTTGATACATTTAATTTTATGTTTATATTACTATCCCATATTTCTGTTCCTTTAATCATCTCTTGCATTGTAAATACTGTAATACTATAATTCATACATTCACATTTACTATGATACTTATATTTAATCTATAATCATACTGAAATTATTTAGCACTGATTATATTATGCACCAATCAAAAACAGCTAACTCTTAGCAACTTGGTGACATCACAGTTATTCTTTATTGGTCTAGTCACATGACCTTTATTGTCATTTTACGTAACATAGTTGCAAACATCATGTAACAGTGCTCTGAAGACGGCCTCCTTTTGGCCGAAACATGTCAGCACGTAGGATGTAAATCAAACATTACATTTTGTACCAGATTCAGTGGTGTTGTTGCTCATCAGTTCTAGTTTCATAATAATCTATTGCCTAAAATTTATCTCCAAGCAACAAATGCTGTTTTTTCTCATAAATTTGGGATGGGGCCTTTTTGTCTCAATTTGGGAAGAAAATATACCAATATCAATTGGGAAGAAAATGTTCGGGAGGAAACTGCAAAGTTTAGCAATTACATGTACCAGGTAGCTATAAATATAAAACAGTTTCAATTGAGAATTGGGGGCCATTTTCGGCGCCCAAATTTTCCCCCAAAAAGCACTACAGCAGCACTTGGAAAATGTTTACGTTAGTTGCATATATATATATTAGATATCAATCAAATCCTGGTTGATAGTTAATCTTATTAATATATTCTTTTGTATTCAAAACTTACATTGAGTAAAAGTTTAACTGCCACTCCTGGAGGGAATCCTAGCCTGTCTGTCTTCTGTTTCATTATCCGATAAAAGTCAGTCCTAAAAAAAATCTTCCTTTTATCAATCATGTTACGTTTGACCTAAAAGTTCCTTATATTTATGGCTCCAGTAGGCTACTGGTAAAACACAAATAATCTGGGTTCAAGATGAATATCTATTTTTAGCTGATTAAATATAAAAACATTTTGACTCCTTTGACCTTGAGTGTGGGTCAAGGTTATTCATTTGAACATTAATGTTAACTCATTGACCCCTGAAATTTCATAATGAACTATTCCATTCTTTGATTTGGAAGGGTTCAAATGTGTCTTCAGGGGTGAATGAGTTAACATATATAACACCTCAGCTGCACCCTAGCAAACTAATGTATCATTTTAATAATTATGTTTAACATATCGAAATTATGCATCTGTCATGGCAAGGTTTAATCAGGGTCTTTAAATGACTTATTATTGAAAATATGATGATGGCATCTTAAATGGAAAATTTAATATCAAAATATTGCCAAAAAGCACATAGCCTTGCTCTCAAATGCACTGCAGTTTGTTAACCCTGTAAAATTTGGGGCAAATTCTTTCCTGGAAGAAGACGGGAGAATACAACCCTGATTGAAAATCACAGGTACTAGCCTCCTGTGTCAACTACACCAATAATAGTTTATATAATGGCTGTACGTGTATTGACAGACAAGCCTCATACCTGTGTTAAAAACCATCAGTTTCTTATCAAACCGAAAATTTCTAGAGCGTCAGACTATTAAACCAAACGTCCCGGTTCGACATCTAAAGGAGGCATATTCATTAAAACAATACCTCACAAAGCCATTTTTTATCATATCTTTAGACTTTTAATTTATTGCTTAAAAGTACAGTATATAAACTTAATTTCAGGTTCCTGTGTTAAACATGATCAATTAACCACAGGTGTTTGATGTTAAGTCAATATAACTGAATAGTCTAGACGTAAAAAATACACCCTCCTGTAGTCCATACTTTTTCATCTACATATACTATACCACAGGGACCGGAGAATTTGTTACAGCTATATTTAGACCTAAACTAGGGTGTTGAGAGAAATGTTACATGTTTAAGGGGTTTAGACAGATTGTCGTTAAAATTACACCTCCAATGATCATACATAAGAGAAGGGCGGAAAGCTTGCAATGTCGAAAAGTCAACCCCACCTAACTAGCAGCAAAAACAACAATTGTAGTTGATCTACGGGGAAATGCTTAGTACTGTTGGAAAGATGGATAATTTTTCTTTTAACAAGAATTAGGCATAATAAGATGTCTTGCCTGTCCCTGTTTTGAGCATAAGATTAAATGTGTCAAGCATTGTAAGTTTGAGCTGAAGTTCGGAATTTTACAGTTTGGCAATACATCAACATGGCGATATATAAGGAACAAGTGCTAATTGTAATGGGAGCCGGCCATTACAGATGTCCCCCAAACTACGCTTGCATTCAGAAAAACAAATGTAAATAGGAGAACGGAAGTCGCAGTGCCATAATACACGTACTAGCCTGAGTTTCCTCTAGCCCCGACACCGGCGACTTGGACATTTTGACAGATAGATGTCTGGCGTGGGGCCAGAGCACACTGCTATATGAAAACGTGGAATTCTTCGACACCGTTTGGTATCAGAGAGTTATGAGGTGCTGACAACAAAAAAAATACTATCACACAACACATATCTCACAGATATCGATAAATGGATAATTTATTGATCCAAATCAGCTCTTATTATCACTTACAGCTGCCAAATTCCGTCAGTAGAGTCTTCGATTTTCAATCGTTCAAAACTTCCCACCTGAGCAAACGCCATTTTTGTAGGTCACAGAGTGACTAATCAACAAACCGTACTGATCCGGACTGAAAATGGAATATATATTACTCTTGTCAAGAAGATTTCCGCACCACAACTTTTTGTTGATTAGTCACTCCCCTATAACAAACAGTATCGAAGATTCCATGTTTTCATATAGCAGTGCGCTCTAGCCCCACACCAGAAATCTATCTGTCAAAATATCTAAGTCTGGTATCGGGGCCAGAGGAAACTAAGGCTATACATGTACATACCAAATTTTAGCGAAATCAAAATATATGTGAATTTCGACCAATCATGCAGAAGCCAGTATATGACGACCATCTTGTCAGATCAAAAAATGGATGCCGCGATTCAGTTCACAGTGCGAAAATACACATACATACTGAATTTTAGCGAAATCAGAACATAACTGAATTTCGACCAATCAGAAGCCAATATACAGTGGCCATTTTGTAAAATAATAAAATGAATGTCATGGTTGAGTTTGCAGTGCCAAAATGCATGTACATACCAAATTTGACAGAAATAGAACAATATCTGAATTTCGACCAATCAGAAGTCAGTATACTGCAATCAGAAGCCAGTATTCTGCGGCCATGTTTGTTGTCCGATTCCATTAAAACATTTACATTGTAACCTAAAGATGGTTATGATCATCCCAACTTACAGTCTAAGTTTAATTAGTCTAACACTTCAAATGTTTAAAATACAGCATATAACACACAGCTTAACGCAAAAACTTTACATTCAGGGAGATGTTGTGAATGTCACTGGACCAAGAAATGCAGGCCACATTCAACATATCATGCATGGTTTAATTATTTCATGGGTTATGAATATATGACACATGTACGCCGAAGTTTGGTTGGTCTAGCACTTAATTCTTTTTGAGAAACAAAGCTAAATGCAAAAACTTTACATTGATGAAGATGCTGTCAAAATCACTGGACCGTGAAATATACAATATAGGCCACATTCAGCATATAATGCATGATTTGAAATGCACTTTGTCTAAAATAACTACAGTCCAAACACAATAACTTAACATTGATGTAGATGCTGTCAAAGTCACCGGACCGCGAAATGTAAGACACATTCAGAAACTGATGCATGGATTGAGATGAAGTATATAAGAGGCATGAATTTCCGCAGACATGATCTCCGTTTCCTCCAAAAACACATGCCATTTCAGAGTTTCAAATTTTTGTAGTCATCGTTCCACTTTTTTAATATTAATGAGGTTGAGGTCAGCGTGTGCCGAGACCCATTGGTGTGATTGGCTTGAAGCGCAGCCATTTTTTGGCTAAACCAACCAACAATGCATGTTTCGGCATGCGCTGACCTCAACCTCATTAATATTTTAAAAAAAGTGTCACGATTTGAAATTCAGAAATGGTGTGTGATTTTGGAGGAAACAGAGATCATGTCCGCAGAAAGAGAATACATTTTACAGGAATATAGGAGGTTGTTCAAAGAAAAATTATCCATCATTCAAATGGTACTCAGCGTTTTCCTGTAGATCAACTATAAATGTTGTTTTTGATGCAAGAAAGTTAGGTGGGGTCGATTTTTCGCCATCTCAAGCTTTCCACCCTTCTCGTATTTTTACCGAAAGTCAATCTAAACCATTAAAACATTTTAAAATACCCTGAACAGCCAAAGCTGTTTGCGTTTAAACGGTCAAACCGGTCGGACCACAGTTGTTCGTTTATTAAATAAGGTCGGACCTAGTAATCTGATGCTGCTTTCAGGCGAGCCTTGACAAAATTGTTACATTTGCAAACGGACACACCGATTGTTCTGCATAAACAAACAGGCCCCTAATTTAGGTCCAAATATAGCTGAACAGATAACCAGGGGCCTGTTCGTTTATGCGGAACAACGTAACGGTTTGTCCGTTTTTAAATGCAACCATCTCGGGTATAAAGCCTGGCGGGCCTGCAAATGTTTATGCAGGCCTTGCAATGCCTTGTCAATGCTCTTCTGAAAGAAGCATCAGATTACTCGCTCCGACCTGATTTGATAAACGAACAACTGTGGTCCGACCGGTTCAATCGTTAAATAAACGAAAACGGCCCAGGTCCCTGTGTACTATATAGACTGTCATTTTGACGAAACGCTTAAGTCATTTGAAACATGATTTCGGCACAATTAGATAACCATGTCTTTCTATTGACCTTCTATACAAAAATCCAAACATGGCGTCCAGAAATCCAGCAATCTGTCCCTCATGTTGTAATATTCCGAGCAGAGCAGTGTCGTATTGCTCTCTCATTCCCGCCATGTTGTTTTGCATCGCAATATATAGGTTAAGAAAATGTTTATTTCAGGAGAAGTGACAGTTCCTTCGTTTTGAGCGTTTAAGAGACCATGAAGATGTTTTCGTTCGGAAGTCCTTTGCGTTTTTCCTGTGAATTCGTCTCATTTCATCATGGCGGCAGTTCGAGCAGGGTTTGCGGTAGTGTGTGTCGGCATTCTTGTTTATGGGATTCTGGACATCATGACAAATTTTGAAGAAAACAACTGTGATATGACATACATGTTTGAAATGCCAGAATATGTGGTTGGTATTTTATTGGCCTAACACCACATACTTAGTAAATAACTATTAAGTGGGCGGTCATATCTTGGTTCACTGTAATGAATGCAAGGATTGCGCACACTTTGCCTTGGGTTAGGCTACATTCGCGTATAACGGTTGAAACGGTACGTGTGGAGCAGAAATTTTCCACGATAAACGAACGCACTTGGACCGTTCTATAAGCAGAGCTAAAAATGCACTGTTTCGGAGAATAAAAAAAAAATGTATCAAGAATAGTATGCCCTTCTCTCACATGTCAACTGAATTACATAACGTATCTTAAAAACTACATGCGGCTTGACATTGTTTTAGAAAGAAATAACGCAAACTAGCAATAGTCAGCATTTCGGTCAGGTACGTCTTGACAGAGACGTATATAACACATAACACATGTATTATATACATCTCTGGTCTGGACCCCTCAATCTACATGTGCCAAATTTTCCTGAGGTCAGCCTTGGTCCAGATCTGTACCTGTCGTTTTCTTTACAGGTTCAATCGTTTCAACCGGATACACGAATGTATTCTCGGGTTACCGGTTTCAGCGCACTTAAGAAGCATCCGCGATTTCGTACTCATATCGGCAGAAAACTGTTGAAATTACAGAAGACTGTCATAAACATACAAACTACTAAAGGAAACAAAAAACTAGTAACATAAAACAGTATTTTTAAAAAATCGGAACAAACAAATTTTAACAAATTTCTCTCGTCAGAAGTAGCCGTCATTTGTTTCCGTGTGTCTATTTTGATTTAGTGTTCAAAGAAAGATAACTCGAATACACTAAAAAGAAATTCTCTACAGTTACCTGCAAAAACAAATCTTTAATCGTCAAATTAATTATCAAAACATTTTTTTTTTAAATTTCACATTTTTAATTGATTTTTCTAGATGTCAAATTGAACGAATTCATGTAATTTTATAATTTATTTATTATATTTATTTAGTTATGATATAGAATCTGTTTTTTTCTACAGTCTTATATCGGTTTTGGTTGATAGCAAGTTATTTCTCATTTTGTTCTGTTTAAAATTGGTGAAAATTGGAAGTTCATTGCATCACAAGGTTTACGTTTCATTGAAAACACTGTTTATCGATATAAGAATGTCTCCTTGGCTCTTCGGAAGTGGAAAAAAATCGGCGAGGAGATTTGGCCTCATTTGCATACGACATTTTCGTATGTTTGTCAGACTACAAAAAAGACCGGTTCATGAATGAAATATATCACCGTTTTTTCAGGTATGGGCTCATTTTGAGCAAGATAAAAAGTGCATTAAGTAAAACTGCATATTTATGCGTGTTTTTTTTAATCGGTGATTATTTCTTATGTTTTCCGGACAAACTTCTGGTAATTTTTGTGTCAGTTTACAGACGATGGCCAAATGTCTAAAATATCCTTGTGTTTTGTCCAGCAGGTCCTGTAGTTACGAGATATAGCTTGATAAAATGGCTGCGCGGAAATACATAAGGTGCGGAAACTGATGACTAGACGATACCCTTAGTTCACCCATTATTTTCAATGTGTACTTACAAATAATTGTAAGTTGTATTTTTAAAAGCAAAAGAATTATAGTGCACGAAAAGTCCGAGATAACTGTCCTTAAATGTTATCTTTCCAAGACAAGTAATCTTCTTAAAATTTGAAGGGACGGAGAGTGAGTGTCTATCAAAGGGACTCATTAAAAAAAATTGTGCACTGTGCACACTTCAATTATTGGGGGTTTTCACACCAGAGTATTTATGCCCACCTAACTACAATGTATTTGCCGTACATGGGTTGACAGATTATATTTATTTATCTCTGTCACTCTGCTGATAAAAATGTTGACATGGACTTTTGATGCTGACTATCTCTGTCCCATGAAAAAATAGTAATCAGTCGTTTCTGACTAAGGCACAGGTACATTATAGGTCAGTAGATATATAGAAATGACAACACATAACTTTTCCATTGTCCAGTAATAAGCCGACCCCCTAATTTTGTCCAATTTATATATGTTTTCCTCATGGGCTTATTGCAGGATAAATACAATATTACAGCAATAGCGTAAAAAGACTACATTGCCTGCTGCATAGAGGTTTATTATTATGATCCCTACTTTCAGATATATGGAACAAATAAATATTTTTCTATTAATTTTCATTTCTTTTAAGAACATTTCTTTGGGAGAAGAGGTCAAGAAGACGTATCCCAGATATGGGCTTTACGTGTACGGGGAAGGGTAAGTTCATACACATACCAGTATATCAAACTATAGGTTACTGAAAATGTAGATGGAATATCTAGCTATGGATTATTATTAATATACATAACCAAGCATAATGAAATGGTATTAACATTTCCATTTGACCATAAAAATGAAGTTTAGTACATCTGTGAGAATGAATATTGAAAAACAAGATGTAAAAGTTGGTATGGCAGTAATAAGCATGGTAGAAGTCTCTGTATATGTCACATAATGTATAGCAATTGTTTTTGATTTTGTGAATTAGATGAAAAATGCTGTTTTTTTACTACATATCTATTGTTTTGTTTTTGTTTTGTTTGCAGGGATTATGCCAAATATGTCAGGTATGATATGTTACAGCCAAATTAAGCCAATGTATGTATACTCTTGTCTGCAAAATACCATGGTGACCCTTTCACCACATAACCTCTGCTCCACATTATTACATCATTTCAACAATTGTCTCTTACCCCAATCCTCGATATCCAGGGGTTACGCTCACTTTCGCTCTCTACACCCACCCCTGGAATATGTCATAGCAAAATTGAAGGCACAAAGATAGCTGTTTGATTGGTCTCAGGTAAAATGAACTGACTAATCGCTAGGCCAATACCTGTCCTTTGAAGATTACAAAGGAGAGATGCCCGACTTCAAAGCCTGTCAATTTTTACCGTTACATGACCCCGAAATTCTTTTGATGTACATCAAATGATCAAACTAGTCTTCTTGTCTCATCAACAAGGTAGTGCACACTGAGCCTTCAATTTTGCTATGACATATTCCAGGGGTGCAGAAAATGAAAGTGAGCGTAACCCCTGGATATCGAGGATGCTCTACCCCAGATGGTATGGCAAAAAAATCCTAGCCAAAGGGAGTGATATTGTTGATTGTCTAACCTAAAGCTGATGTCAAGCTGTGGGTTATATATTTGAGAATCTTGACTGCTATCAACACTAGATTTTACTTACAGGTTATTTAATTCAGATACAAATATTTTCAAATCCAGTTCCCTTATTACTGATCACTCCACAACTAATGGTAATTAAATGGATGTGAGAATACAGCCTGCCCATGCTTGTCATTGTTATAAAATGTGACATGTATATCATATATATTGAGCTAAGGTTATAATAATTACATCCAAGGATGTCTGGTTTAGACAGCTGAACTTTAGCAGATGTTTTTTTTCTTCTCATTTTCATTTAATTCAATAATACATGTAACACACCAAATATAAGCATTTTTCAAACAAAAAGAAAAGAACAAGGATATCAATAATGATAAGAATTGAAAACAGTAATAATTTTCATGGTTTCATAATTAATTACAATGTATGTTATGCATATTTAAGTTGATGAAATACTGTGTATTTTTTTGTTTTGTAGTGATATGAATCTACAGGGGGTACCTGTTCTTTTCATCCCTGGCAATGCTGGTAGTCACAAGCAAGGTAATAGACACACGTTTTTTGTTCTGAATCAGGCCAGATTTTATGTATCTCATAAATAGATTTTATGTTTAGAACTACACTTGTGTCTATTTACAAAATTCATCGTCTTTTCTGAACTCATGAATACAGGATTGAAAAGATGTAGATTTCACTAACAATGATAGTTTTATTTGTAAAATGTGTGATTTCTATCCAAAAGAATGTTTTGTTGATATTAAAAGTATATTACCGATGCAAAAAAATAAATAAATTCGAACAGCTTTTTTGAAGTCTTTCTGTAATATTTTACATTTGCATATAATGCAGGAAATGTATATTTAGACATGAATGTTCTCCGTGTAGTAGCTTTATCTGTTTATGTGTTTCATGAGTTAAAGAGATTATGTCTCTTGTATTGAAAAGTATCTGGTTTCATAGCAATAAAAGAAACCTTTTTTTTACACACATATATTATGATTTAGATTAGTTAATACAAAATGAGAACATTAATTACTTAATATAATGTTATTATTGATAAAACATGTGTTTAATAACTAATTATTGCTATTTCCTTAAAAGGATGGGTCTTTTTCGTTTGTAATTGAGATATTGTAGAATGTTAATGGTATTTATTTTATCACTATGTAATGTGTTCCCATGCTTCCTGCCTGCAGCCCGCTCCCTAGCATCAGTGGCCTTAAGACGTGTTGAGGAAAAAAAACCTAACTTCCATTTCAATTACTTCACAGTGGATTTGAATGAGGTGAAATTTTCAGAAAAATGTTTTTCCATCAATTCGTCGAAGATTAACTTATCAACACGTTATAATAATGGTAGAGGTACATTTAACTTGAATAGAGTGAACACCACTTTACTGACAAGGGAAACTTGATAATTTGGTCAGACATGACAGTGTGTCTGAAAACCTGATATTAATGACCTCAAGGGGGTGCTAGATCATTTGGTAAAATAGGAAAGCATGTCAGAAACTTAACTGACATCAAGGGGGATCAGACATTTTTGGTCAAATATCACAGTATGTCAGTTAACCTGTCTATACTGACAGTAAGGCATGGAGGACTACATCATTTGGTCGGATATGACAGTATGTCAGTTAACCTGTCTATACTGACAGTAAGACATGGAGGACTACATCATTTGGTCGGATATGACAGTATGTCAGTAAAGTTGATTCTAATGACTATACGGGGGAGAAACACAGTAATGTTGTTTGAGAATTGGTTTGCATATAAATTCAAATAAATGGTCTATAATATATAAAACATGTACGTCACTGATATTGCCCTGTGTAGTATGTACGACTAGCCTAGTGTCTGATGGCCTTGGTGTTGTTTGTAGGAGATGATGGGTCTGTATGGTGGGACATTACAGGATCAGACAGGTATGTATGTTTTCATCATAATAAATCATTCACCCTTACATATATACAGCAAATATTGAATTAGATTCTCGCCTTAAAAATATATCTAGATAAAGTTTAAAAAAAATCAACAATTCTAAACAATTGTAAGTTAATCTAATAAGTGACATGTCAATTTCTGTTCCAGAATTTGTGCACCTTTGCATGACAAAGATTTTGACGTTGTATGGAGAAGCTCCAAACCCACCCTCCTCTGTAATACTAGTTGGACATTCTATGGTAAGTCTGTGTAGATATTCCTCTTACAGAGAAGCTCCAAACCCACCCTCCTCTATAATACTAGTAGGTCACTCTCTGCTAAGTCTGTGTAGATATTCCTCTTACAGAGAAGCTCCAAAGCCCCCTCTATAATACTAGTAGGACACTCTATGGTAAGTCTGTGTAGATATTCCTCTTACAGAGAAGCTCCAAACCCACCCTCCTCTGTAATACTAGTAGGTCACTCTCTGCTAAGTCTGTGTAGATATTCCTC